GTGGTTGTGGCGCTGTGCGTCCGGGAAGTGGTTGCGGCGCTGTGGTGGTGGCAGTGGCTTCTGGTCTGGGGGCTTCTCCTCCATCGGTGGAGTGGTAGTCTTCTTCTGGAGCCAGGATTTCATCATCTTGTCCTGACAGACCTCGGTTCCCTCGTCTTACTGGTTCCGATCGAAGGTCGGGGGGGTCGTTGGTATGTTTACCATCGCTGGTTAGGTTGTTATCGGCAAAAGTTCTATTGCTTCTAGCAGTTGACACTTGCTTGCTGTACTCCCGTTAGCCGGGGCGGGCGTTTGTGGTGGTAAAAAGGTGTTAGTACTTGCTACTATTGTGGATCATATAGATCTCTGGGCGTGGTTCTTCCATCCGTCTCGATGATTTGGTGTTTTAGCATATGTACAGAGTAGTCTGGGTTGCTTATAGGATCGGCGTCGCATAAAGGGCATTGCTTTTTCGCTAGCTCTTGGTCGAGGGTTCCTAAGCATTTGTGCTTAACGTAGGTGGCTGCTGTCTTAAAGGTCGTGTTGCATCCAATGCAGTATACCGGTAGTCCCTTCGGTCGCTCGGTATTTGGATGGTAGAGGGCTTCATGCCGCCTGAGCGCTTGTGAGGATTTTAATTCCTTGTTACAGGTGTCGCATCTCGACTGTTCTCGCCTGATCGCCGCTTCCGTCTGCCGTCTCATTGTCTCTACCTCGTTAGTTCGGTCCTTGCCTTGTACCGTTGGTGGTTGTACTCCGCTAGAGGTCTGCATGCCTCGTGGTGTATGTGGTCTTAAGCTGCTTTTTGCGCGCATTAGTGTCGGGTCGGCCGTAGTGGTGGGTAGTTCTGGCGCTGCTTTCGGTCTCGTTAGTGACGGTCTCAGCATCTCTCTAAGTCGTTTGGCAAATTCGAAGGCTCCAGTGTTCTGCTTCTGTGGTGTTAGCTGGCCCTCGTACTTAACACAGTGGATGAGATGGGCCGACAACTGTGGATTGGAGTACTCAACCCCACATCCAACACAGCTTGCACGTTCAAATTCTGCCTGTTTTGAATTCCGGCAGCGGTGGTCTCTGTAGTACGGTTTTGTCATTACCCTTCGACAGCCCACGCAGTAGCACGGGTCGTCAGCAGGAGGTCGGTATAAGCCTTGATGGGCTGTAGTGTAGTGCGCTCGTATCGCTTGTTTAGTGGTTTTGACTATCCCGCAGTACGGGCAAGCCAGTTGAACTAGTTCCACTTCCTGTATAGTATCCAGTCGCAGTTTCATGTTATCCGTTTGAGGGTGGTGCCTGTCCTTGCCGAAGCCTGGTGTGGGTGGTGATGTCTCCAGTGTGGTCATGAAAGTTTCCCTGGTCTCCTCGTACGGTCCGTCTTCCCGCGGGCTGTAAAAGGTAGTCTCCTTGTCCTTTGTCGGTAGCTGCAATTTCGGTACTAGTAGTGCGCGGGTGGTCTCCCCTTTGTCTTTGAGTATCTTGATGTCATGGTCTGGCCTTGCGTAGAGGATGTCAGTTCCTTCAGTCCGCAATTCCACACCCGTATCCATCTCTGTATCCTTTGGCATCAGTACGTCTAGAGATGCCAGCTGCTTGATCCTTGGCGTCAGTCCTTTAGTGATGTTGTTTACATGTCTCTGAATCGAGGTGGCCGTAACACCACTGGTATTGTTGAACATCTTAGCCAGTAGTTGTGTGGCGACGTCTGCTAGGGTATCTCTTTGCGGTGGGGTGAAAGGTATCTCCCTCCATAAATAGAAGAGGTGCGGTAGTATAATCGCACAGGCTCCGCACACACTCTCGCACACACCCTGTTGTGTCTCTTTGTCTTTTTACTTTTTTTGCAAATAAATAACTGACGACCCCCGACGACCAATGACCATCC